ACAGAACAGACAGATTCACAGACATAGAGAACAAACTTGTGTTTACCAGGGCTTAAGGGGGATGGGACGGGATAAACTGGGAATTTGAAAATTGCACCTCTTGGGGAGTGAGGGAAATGTTAGCACTCTTGATCGTGGTGGTGATTTCACGGGTGTAGACATCTATCAAAAACCATCAAATTGAAAATAGAAGAAAAAAATCTGGCTACTAGAAATGTTTAAACTACATTGGCAGCTCATGTTACATTTATATTGGACAGCGCTGCTCAAAGGGAGGCGGAAATGCATTTATCCGTGCGGTGCTGGGTGGTGTAAGAACCAGAGGAGCCCAGTCGGAGGGGGAGGGTTGCTGAGACACTGAAGATCCTAGGGGCGTGCTTCTGAGGGTGGGCTTGTGAGGCAAAGAGATCACAAGGAACTGAGCCACTCTGAGGGCTCCTCTAGTTCCACCAGCAAGCGTGGATCTGGCCAAAGTCCATGCCAGTGACACTTGGATAATTCCACTCTCCATACGCAAACATTCTTTAAAAAAAAAAAGAAAGAGGTTCAGGGTATCAACGAGCTTCCGTTTCCCTCTCCCTTTCCATTCTGAACTCTCCAGTACTTTCCAGTACTTTCCATGGTTCTAGTTGCTTGGTTTTGCACCAATACCACCTCACTCAGTTACTCGGTTTCCTAAATAAGTCTTGACACCTGGTGACATACATCCTTCAGCTTTGTTTTTCCTTTTCGAGACTGGCCAGGCTATTCTTTCTTTTTATTTTTTTTTTAACTACTGTAGTAAAATATATATAACCTAAAATGTACCCCTTTAGCCATGTCTGAGCGTACAATTTAGTGGGATTAAGTACATTCACATGGGTGTGCAATCGTCCCCACTACCCACCTCCAGAACTTTTTTTTTAACATTTTTTATTGATTTATAATCATTTTACAATGTTGTGTCAAATTCCAGTGTTCAGCACAATTTTTCAGTCATTCATGGACATATACACACTCATTGTCACATTTTTTTTCTCTGTGATTTATCATAACATTTTGTGTATATTTCCCTGTGCTATACAGTGTAATCTTGTTTATCTATTCTACAATTTTGAAATCCCAGTCTGCCCCTTCCCACCCTCTACCCCCCTGGTAACCACAAGTCTGTATTCTCTGTCCATGAATCTTTAGATTCCACATATGAGCGATCTCATATGGTATTTTTCTTTCTCTTTCTGGCTTACTTCACTTAGAATGACATTCTCTAGGAGCATCCATGTTGCTGCAAATGGCGTTATGTTGTCGGTTTTTATGGCTGAGTAGTATTCCATTGTATAAATATACCACTTCTTCTTTATCCAGTCACCTGTTGATGGACATTTATGTTGTTTCCATGTTTTGGCTATTGTAAATAGTGCTGCTATGAACATTGGAGTGCAGGTGTCATCCTGAAGTAGATTTCCTTCTGGATACAAGCCCAGGAGTGGGATTCCTGGGTCATATGGTAAGTCTATTCCTAGTCTTTTGAGGAATCTCCACACTGTTTTCCATAGTGGCTGCACCAAACTGCACTCCCACCAGCAGTGTAGGAGGGTTCCCCTTTCTCCACAGCCTCTCCAGCATTTGTCATTTTTGGATTTTTGAATGACGGCCATTCTGACTGGTGTGAGGTGATACCTCATTGTAGTTTTAATTTTCATTTCTCTGATAATTAGTGATATTGAGCATTTTTTCATGTGCTTTTTGATCATTTGTATGTCTTCCTTGGAGAATTGCTTGTTTAGGTCTTCTGCCCATTTTTGGATTGGGTTGTTTATTTTTTTCTTATTGAGTCATATGAGCTGCTTATATATTTTGGAGATCAAGCCTTTGTTGGTTTCACTTGCAAAAATTTTCTCCCATTCCATAGGTTTTCTTCTTGTTTTATTTCTGGTTTCCTTTGCTCTGCAGAAGCTTGTAAGTTTCATTAGGTCCCATTTGTTTATTCTTGCTTTTATTTCTTCTAGGAGAAAATTTTTGAAATGTATGTCAGATAATGTTTTGCCTATGTTTTCCTCTAGGAGGTTTATTGTATCTTGTCTTATGTTTAAGTCTTTAATCCATTTTGAGTTGATTTTTGTATATGGTGTAAGGGTGTGTTCTAGCTTCATTGTTTTACATGCTGCTTTCCAGTTTTCCCAACCTCCAGAACTTTTTCATCATGGCAAACTAAAATTCTGGATCTCTTAAATACTGACTCCCACCGCCATTGCCCCTAGACCTGGGTAAATGCTAGCCTACTTTCTGTCTCTATGAATTTGACTGCTCTAAGTAGCTCATGTAAGTGGAATCATACAGTATTTATCCTTTCGTGTCTGGATTATTTCAGAGCATCAAGTCTTCAAGGTTCCTCCATGCTGTAGCATGTGTCAGAATTTTATTCCTTTGGGGAAATGTACTACCCAGCGACATGGGACTAATACAGATGTATTTCTGTAAGTTGATGAATTTGAGACAGAGTATAGGAGGTGACAGGACTTGGTGTTTGATTGGATGTGGGAGGATATGGGAAATGAATATCAGTGACAAGTCTTAGGATTCTGGCTTGAGGGGGAGGGGAGAGCTCAGTGGTAGAGCGCAAGCCTAGCTTGCATGAGGTCCTGGGTTCAATCCCCAGTACCTCCTTCAGAAAAATTAATTAAATGAGTAAATCTAATTATGCCCCCCACAAAAAACCCCGAACAAATAATAATAAAATAAAAAAGAATGCTAGCTTATGCAGCAAGGTGACAGGTTGTGACATTTATGATGATATGGTGATCTGTGCACTGGAGGGAAGCTCTGTTAATTTTGGTTGAATCTTTTTTTTTTAATGGAGGTATTGAATCCAGACCTCATGCATGCTAAGTGTGCACTCTACCACTGAGTAGACCCACCCCCTCGGCTGTTAATTTTGGATGCATTGAGTTTGGACCTTTGTGACACCCAGTGGAGGCTCAGTGAGCACCCACTACACGTGTCTGGAGCTCAGACGGTCTGGGCTGTGTATATTCCTGTGGGTCACAGCAGAGGTAGTTCCGCCCAGTTTCCGCCCAGTTTCTTTCCTCTATAATAGAAGATTTATCTGGGTGTATGTTTGCCCAGCTGAAGACTATACTCTCCAGTCTTATACGTAGCCATGTAACTGTGTTCTGGGGTATCCCAGAATGAAGTGGGACGTCCAAGGACTGTGTGTAACTTGAGGATCACAGACTTAAAACGAAAGAAGCATGCTGCCCCTCCCCCTCTCCACTTCCTGCTGGCTGCAGCAACAACACCTGGTGTGATCTGGCTCACATGCGAGGTCCCAAATGGAAGCCCTTTGTTGAAGATGACAGCCCAACAAAGAAGAGTGACTCCTTGAGGCTGAAACAGGAAAATGGGGCACGAGGGGATGACCACGTCCCAGGTCTCAGCTGAGTCCCTGGGATGCGCCCCGCCAAATGAAGTTCCTTGGCTTCATGCAGGAAAGAATTCAAGAGCGAGCCATAGTTGAGTAAAAGTAGATTTATTCAGAGATGCACACTGCATAGACAGAGTGTAGGCTGTCTCAGAAGGCCAGAGAGGCCACGAGGCGTGGGGGATTGTTTAGTTTAAAGTAAAAATAGATACACACTCCATAGACAGAGTGCAGGCTGTCTCCAAAGGCAAGAGAGAGCAAGAGGCCGCGGGGTGCAGGGTTGTTAGCTTTTATAGGCTCAGTAACTTCATATGCTAACAAGGAGGGAGTCATGGGAACCCCGATTAATACCTAAGTCGGTAGGAAATGTGGGAGGCCTGGGACGTGGGACTGGTGTTTGAAGTGAGGGTGGTCTTGTGGAATGAAGCCCTTAATCTGCAAGGCCTGAGGACAGGTCCAAGTGGTTAGTGTACCCTGATTCAGAACTGAAGTGAATCACTGGACATGCAGGTGGTGTCCGGAGTTATGGACTGGTTGTTAACAAGGAAGGAAGGAAGGAAGGAAAAGGAAAGGAAAGGAAGGGAGGGGAGGGAGGGAGAAAAACCCCCACACATTTGGTGTCAGAAGTGAAAAACGGTTCATAATCTGTACCCGGGTGAGCTCCCCGCAAAAAGCCTCCCTTACACTCTGGCGCTCAGTCAGCTTCTTTCCCCCGTCTCCCCAGCACAGGCTTAATGGGCTTATGAGCAAAGTGACCATGGCGGGCTATACATGGTCTTGCCTCATCAAAGCTTAGAGAGCTTTGTCACTGATGGGCTGATGGGGAGGCCACCTTACTGGGCAGCAGCAGGGCTGGGCCTTCAGTGTGGTATGGTTTCCTAGGGAGACCAGCCAGATACGTGGTCACCTGAGGACCACCTTGGACCCCTTCCATCGTGGATTGGGCAACGACTTTCCTGCCTGAAATAATCAACTCTGGGTTATATTTGTTTTCCTTGCCCTCCACATTCCTGCCAACGTCGGCATCTGCACACACGCTGAATGGCCCTATTCACCGTCGTGTTAACCCACACAGTATTGCTTCTGATCAAGGAACTCGGTTTGTTAGTAAGTCAGTGGGCAGGTCCACGTACCCCAATCACCCAGAGGCAGCTAGACTCACAGAAGACAGGCACGGCCTGTTTGCGACGGGATTTCAGTGCCGGGATGGAGACCGCATCTCTGGGGTCCACGTGCTGCTCCGCAGGCGGGGTAAACACTGCACGCAGCCAGATTACACAGACCCGGGAACCCTGCGGGTCACCTCTCGGGATCACACCTGATGACTCAGTCTGTAAATGTTTGTTTCCTGTTCCTGCCACCCTAAACTCGGCTGTTTTGAGGGTTTTAGTGCCTGGAGGGGAAGCGCTTCCACCAGCGAGCACAACTGTAGTCAACTGCGTGCGTAGAGACGGCCTCTGAACGACCTGGGGTATCTCAGGAGCTGGGCAGGCAGTAAGAGCGGCTTCGACGCTGGAGGCCGCGGAGGGGCGTGAGTAGAATCCGGGGTCGTCTCTGGAGAACCTCCGGCGAAGACCGGTCCTGACTCCTTGTACGTCCTGACGCGGGGCTCGTGGAGACCCCTTCTCCTGGGCAGGGCACAGGATGACAGGCGGTCTGCGTCTACCGCCTTTGCGGGGCGCAAAAGTGGGCACGCAGGCTGCACACCCTTCTCCCCCGCCCCCCGCTTCTGCCGCGCACACAGCGCCCAGGTGCCCCCCGGCCCCTCCCACTCCGTAGGGCACGCAGCCGGGCACACAGCTCCCGCGTCCCTTCCTACCCCTCCCTCCGCGCCGCGCCGGCCTCCACCCAGGGGCTCGGCCTCAAAGCCTCCTCAGTAGGCGGCCTGGAAGGCACCCAGCAGCAGCCTCGCGGACAGCGCCCCGTTAGCTCAGCGTCGCCCAGCATCCGCCGCCGCCACCAGGCCCCGCCCAGCGACAGCCGCGAGCGAGGCCGTGCCTAGGAAGACTGCCGGATCGTGGTGAGTGAGCCCGGCCAGCAGGGAGGGACCCGGGCGCCCCGGTCCCCTCCCGCCCCAGCCCCGGGCCATGCATCGCGCGACCTTCAGCTCCCGCTGTCTTCTTGGCTCTGTCAATCCGTTTCAGGGCCCCGGAGCCGCCCCTTAGAAAAGACCCCGGGGCCCCCCTCCTGCACTGGGGCCTTCCCTCTTGCAGGAACCAGGAATCTGGAGCCCTCAGCACCCCCAGCCTCGTCCTCGTTAAGCTTCTGAGCCCCTCCCTCTTTGTAGGAGCCAAGAATGCAGGCCAAAAATATCTCTCCCTTCCAGACCCAAGAGGCTCGGCTTACAACCACATCTGGGCCCGCAGCCTTGGCGTCATGTGGAACCTGGGAGTCCATGCCCCCAACTCATATCTCCCCGATTCCAGAAATTTTGCTACCAATAAACCCCCTCCCATGCCCTTACCGACAGTCACATAGGGGACCCAGGGGTCGGGCCCATAAGTCCCTCACACCGCGAATCCCAGTGTAAATGAGGATTAGAGGACCCAGTTTATTCCTCCCTCAAGATCCTTAAACACAGAAATCCAGCCACAGTTCTTTTGGGGACCCAGGAGACGGGACCTCAGCCCAGAAACCCCCTAAAAGCCTAGGGATCAGCACACCCCTCACTCTTTCCTACTTCAGGGACCCAAGAGGCAGAAACCCTAGCCCATAGACCCCATTAAACTGAGAGACCCGGCCCTCCAACCCGCGGCCACCCAGATGTCCAAGATTTCATCCATCCTGGACGAGCGGGGCTGGAGCAGACGAGGAAGGAGTGGGCAGAAAGGGAGAGGGAGAACTGAGTGAGGTGAGCCTGGGGTGGGGACCTGGGCTGGGGGCTTTGTCCTAAACAAAGTCTAAACAGAGGGGTTGCCATGGCAACGGCCTTCCAAGGCCTGCCCTGGAGACTTCTCTAGAGCTGTGTCGAGGAGGGCAGCCCCCTAGAGCCTCCACTCCGCCAGCTGTTGTGTCTTCCTGTTTTGTCACCACGGAAACAGTGACCTCAGCCCTCAACCCCCACCGCTGGCGGGGCGGAGGATCCGCCGTGTATTTATCCCTGGAGGGGTGTGGTCTTTGCCTTGGCCCCGCCCTCGGGCGGGGCTGGGATAGCCCTGGCTGGGGGAGTCCCTTACTCGCCTACAGCCCGGATCTCTGGCCCTGCCTCCGGCCCCGCCCACGCACTCTGTCCTGCCAGCCAACCCCACCCAGCCCGCAGACCCTTCTGGTCCGCAGCTGTCGCCTCTGCTTCAGCCGCAGCCGCCACAGGCCTGTAAGGTGAGGCTGCGGGAATCCTTGAGGGTGGGAGCAGCGTCCAGGATTCTTGGGTGCAGAGGGATTCCAAATGTCTGAGTCCCTAGAAAGACGGGCTGGTTCACGACTCGGGTTCCTGGGAGAGCGCTGGAGACCTGAACTCACACAGGTCATGCATCTGAAAAAGGAGGAGGCCTGGAGCCTAGACTGTGGGGTCTGATGGAGGAGAGGCTAGGGGCCTGTACTCCTGGGTCTGATGGAGGAGGGCCTGGGGGCCTGGCTTGGGTCTGAGGGTACAGAAGGATGGGGACTTCTTGGTGCCCAGGTTGAAGGGGACTGGAATCGGTACAAGGAGGTCCTGGGGGGCTGGGGAGGAGCTTGGAGTTGGAAGTCCTGGATTTGAGAGAGTGGCTGACCTCCCCATCCAGGGGACCGAATCTGAACTTAAGACTAGAATGGCCAGTGGGAGGGGGCTGGGGGGCGTGCTGAGATTCAACACCCGGCTCCCATAGTGAGGACAGAGCTGGGCCCCGGGGTGTTGGAAGCAGAAGCTGGGGTTCAGGGCGCGATTATGAGTTAGTGGAGTGATGGGGTGTGGCGCTTGGCGTGGAGGTGGGGAGAGGACTGGGGCGTGGCCGTGAGAGGTCCTGAGCTACGTCGGGAAGCCGCAAGGGTGTTACTTCTCCCTCCTCCGGTCTCTGGCAGTGCATTCCTGAGCTCTGACCTCAAGCGGCGGCTGGGGGCGCTGAGAGTGGAGATGGACCCCTTCCGTCCGGGTGGTCCGTGCACTAACCAACTTTCCAGAGGACACTTACTGATTGTGACCTGCCCTCTTATCTCTGGGAGCGTCCCAACTTCCTCCTAACGGACCGGGTGGGGGCGGAGCAGGAGGCGGCGGGCTCCCGCTCAGCACCTCCCAGGTGGCCCGGGAGGCCCAGCTCTAGCCGAGAAACCTGCCTTCCGGAAGGTGGCGGGAGGTGTGGTTACTATCTAGGGACTGGATTCCAACACTGTGCAGTTTCCTGCCCCAAGGCGGGAGGGGTCCTCAAGGCGAACCCAGGGGTCCGGGTTCCCAACCGCTCCTCTCTTTGAGACCTTCTTGGGGGTCCAGGCTCCCAGCCCACCATATCAGGACCCGGTACTCACATTTT